TTGTTTGTTTGTTTGTAAAGCTTCAAAATAGTTGCTATATTATTTGCGGTTACCGGTGCAATTTTTTCTTCTTCTTGGACACGGGTCACCTATAAATATATACATATATATATATATAAATGGCAAAAAGAAATTAAGATACATTTACAGTTTAAAGTACATAATGCATAATTATTTGCATATGTTTGCAAATATATTTTATATTTTGATGTGTCAGTGCCGGCCACTCCTATATAGAATGGAAGGACAGGGATGCTCGTCGGAAATTTTGAAAATGACCCCTAAAAGGTACCCGAGTCCTGTGCAGTTGAGCGTGGAAACTCAGTAATAATATTTACCCAAAAGGTACCAATTGGCTATGATCTAAGCGACAGAAGTCAGCTCTTAATGTACAATCGGTAGCTTTAAAAAGCTACATGAAAATAAACTTAATGAGGTATTAAAGTTAACTTTAATTTTTTAATTAAATTTAGTAAATTTAACTTTCCTGAGTTTTAATGTTCTATTTAAATCTCTTTAGTGAAGTGTTTTGTGAGGCTTCTTAAATTCACTTAAATTAACGTATATCTAGGTTTAATGACCTTTTATCTGCGCACTTAAAGTTTACTGAAAGCTTGGTTTTGTAGTCTTTAATACATTATAAAGTATCATTAAATGCGAATTTAAGTAGCCTTTAAGTACAGGATTAATCATCAATGTTTTGCTGGTTTCTTGGTCTTTAAGTTGAATTTAATCATGCTAATAAAGCCATAAATAATTAATTTTCATTTGGTCTTACAGAATATTTAAGGTTTATTTTATTGCACTTAATTAATCAATACAATTATGATGAATTATTGCCTTTACTCGCTACTTGCTTTACATTTTTCTTCAACTGATGTTACACTCCTATAGAAGACTTCATTGATGCGGTACAAATTTGGCTGCATTCAGTCCCTCCAGCTCAGTTATCTTTGCCTTGTCATAGGTAGAATAAGCCGTTGCTCTTGTCACAAAAACCGATATATCGTAAGTGTTCAATTCTTCTTGGATTATTGAATTGGCCTTGAATTCTTCTTGCTTTGTATTATTATTATTATTATTATTTATATTATGTATCATCTTGGCCTCTTCTCTAGTTCTGTCCGTCATTTATTAAAGTCAAAGCAAGCAAATCGAATTTTTCCACGGGCTTTTCTTATTGTTCTTATGCTCTCCATTCACCAGCAATAACGTAATACTTCAGGGATGAAACGAACCAAAAATAAATATTCTGAATAGCAACTGCCATTCTGTTCCATCGTATTATTTCAGKTGTCTTATTTCCGTTCAAAAACTCTAAGAGGTGCCGGCTTAATTTTAGCTTTTAGATATGTGGCACCCTAGGAGGTAATAAATACAGATCTGGAACTCTAAACGGTACGACGTGCATCCCCGTTCTTTTCAGGTCAAAGTCCCGACCCCCATCCCCATTAATTCCCCCGGTTGTCAGTGTTTTGTTGGATGGCTGATTGGTTGATTATTATATTGGTTGGTTTGCTTCTTGAGTTATTTTTAGCTTATTCAGAGTAAAAGATAAAGGCGCAGTGTGTCAATTGATAAAGAAATTGGAAAAATGATTTAAATATTCTTTATATATTCAACAGGGATATAGCCATGAATTTTGTTGTTGCCTTGACCCCCCGCCCCCCTTGACCCCCTTTCCCCCCATTTCATCCCCCCTGCCTATGCCCCTACTCAACATCATATTAACACATTACGTATTGAACAGTGACGTCCACTTTGTAGCCATCCTGGACAACAGGAGTAAGTATCAGTGTCGTCCCTCCATGATTCAAAATCACCGTCACCGCTGCCGCTAGCGCTAAACGGGGGAGAAATGTTAAAAAATAATGTTAATTATGTATATGTGTATCGATATTAAAATAATGAAAAACTGAAGCTTAAGGTATCATAAGGTTATTATTTAGGTAAATGCCAAAATTAACTTGATGATTTGACAGAGAAACAGGTCCGTCACTATTTTACCTGTTTTCGTCACACAAGCCGAAGTCACGTCAGTCTGCTTGAAAGCTTGTTGTAGTTCCATAACACACATTATCTCTATAAGAAGTGAAAGGAAAAAAGGTGATATGGTTTTATTTCSTAAAATCGTTATTTTCAAAAGGTTAGATAAACTTCCAAAAATATTCAAGATTGTTATCGAATTTTCAAAAGTCACTAAATTTATATTTTTCGTGGTGCTTGTTT